ATCTGTCATTGGTAGTATTATACAGAGATATCTGTCATTGGTAGAATTATACAGAGATATCTGTCATTGGTAGTATTATACAGAGATATCTGTCATAGATAGAATTATACAGAGATATCTGTCATTGGTAGTATTATACAGAGAGTTCTGTCATTGGTAGAATTATACAATGATATCTGTCATTGGTAGTATTATACAGAGAGATCTGTCATTGGTAGTATTATACAGAGAGATCTGTCATTGGTAGTATTATACAGAGATATCTGTCATTGGTAGAATTATACAGAGAGTTATGTCATTGGTCGAATTATACAGAGAGATCTGTCATTGGTAGTATTATACAGAGAGATCTGTCATAGATAGAATTATACAGAGATATCTGTCATTGGTAGAATTATACAGAGATATTTGTCATAGATAGAATTATAGAGATCTGTCATTGGTAGTATTATACAGAGAGATCTGTCATAGATAGAATTATACAGAGAGTTATGTCATTGGTCGAATTATACAGAGATATTTGTCATTGGTAGTATTATACAGAGATATCTGTCATTGGTAGAATTCTACAAAGATATCTGTCATTGTTAGTATTATACAGAGAGATCTGTCATTGGCCGAATTATACAGAGATATATGTCATTGGTAGTATTATACAGACAGATCTGTCATTGGTAGTATTATTCAGAGATATCTGTCATTGGTAGGATTATACAGAGAGTTATGTCATTGGTCGAATTATAGAGATATTTGTCATTGGAAGTATTATACAGAGATATCTGTCATTGGTAGAATGATACAGAGATATCTGTCATTGGTAGGATTATACAGAGAGTTATGTCATTGGTCGAATTATAGAGATATCTGTCATTGGTAGAATTATACAGAGAGATCTGTCATAAATAGAAATATACAGTGAGTTATGTCATTGGTCGAATTATACAGAGATATTTGTCATTGGTAGTATTATACAGAGAGTTCTGTCATTGGTAGAATTATACAAAGATATCTGTCATTGGTAGTATTATACAGAGAGTTCTGTCATTGGTAAAATTATACAGAGAGTTCTGTCATTGGTAGTATTATACAGAGATCTGTCATTGGTAGTATTATACAGAGATATCTGTCATTGGTAGTATTATACAGAGATATCTGTCATAGATAGAATTATACAGAGATATCTGTCATTGGTCGAATTATACAGAGAGATATGTCATTGATCGAATTATAGAGATCTGTGTTATTGTTAGACTTATAGAGATCTCTGTCATTGGTAGAATTATACAGAGATATCTGTCATTTGTAGAATTATACAGAGATATTTGTCATTGATAGAATTATACAGAGATATCTGTCATTGGTAGAATTATACAGAGATATTTGTCATTGATAGAATTATACAGAGATATCTGTCATTGGTCGAATTATACAGAGAGATCTGTCATTGGTCGAATTATAGAGATCTGTGTTATTGTTAGAATTATAGAGATCTCTGTCATTGGTAGAATTATACAGAGATATCTGTCATTGGTAGAATTATACAGAGATATCTGTCATAGATAGAATTATACAGAGATATCTGTCATTGGTAGAATTATAGAGATATCTGTCATTGGTAGAATTATACAGAGATATCTGTCATAGATAGAATTATACAGAGATACCTGCCATTGGTAGAATTATACAGAGATATCTGTCATAGATAGAATTATACAGAGATATGTCATAGATAGAATTATACAGAGACACCTGTCATTGGTAGAATTATACAGAGATATCTGT